CTGGCAGAGCACAGAGGATTTTTAGGGCACTGCTGCTACACCACCAGGAGTGAATCCTAATGTAAACTATGGGCTTTGGATGATAGTGATGTGCCAATGGAGGTTCGTCAATTATAACAAATATACCTGGTGGGGATGTTGATATTGGGGAAGGCTATGAATGTGTGTGGCAAGGGTATATGGGAAATATCTGTACCTTCTCTCAGTTTTGCTGTGAACCTAAAGTTGTTCTAAAAAAAAAAAAAAGCCTTCAAAAATCACAATATAGGAAGGGAAAGGGCAGACTAGGGTGGTTAAAAATGAAATATGGGGTATGCAGTGTTACACTGCACTTGGGGGGCTTGCCTTTCCACTTCTGCTAGATGATGAGAGCTTCTCATTGTCCAACCAGCTTCATGGAGAGTGGCTGCCACTCCCTGCTCCAACCTGAGGGCTTCCCCATTCTTACCTGTAAGGAACTCTGCTTTGTCAGAATCACCTGCTTAAATGGACATCAGATCACATCCCTCTGCTACTCAAAAGCCTTCCATGGTTCCCATCTCACTACAAGTAAAGTACAAAGCCCTCACCTAGGACCTTACATGTTCTGGCCCCTGGCTACCTCCTTGATGTCCTCCCTGCCCCAGTAGGCTCTATCCAACAGACTCTGGTTCAGCAGACACCCACCCAGAGCCCTTGCAAATGTTGCCTCTTCCTGGACGGCTTGTGGTAGACTGAATAATTACGCCCCCCCCCCCCCCAAGCTCTGTTCCTAATCTCTGGCAGTCTGATTAAGGTAAGGATCTTGAGATGGGGAGATTATCTTGGATTACTGGGTGGGCCCAATGTAATCACTTGGGTTTTTATAAGAGGGAAGCAGGAAAGTCAGAGTCAGAGTAGATGTGACCCTGGAAGCATAGGTTAGAGAGTCAAAGAGACAGGTGTGAAAATGCTCTGCTGCTCAATTTAAAGAGAAGGAAGAGCTGGAGAAAATGAGCAGGTGGATTCTCTTCCTTGAGCCCACAGAGGAATCCAGTCCTGCCAATACCGTGATTTTACACCCATTTAAGACCCACATGAGATTCATTTTGGACTTCTAATCTCCAGAATGGTAAGATTATAAATTTGCATTGTTTTAAGCCATTAAATTTGTGGTAATTTGTTAAAATAGCCACAGAAAACAAATACATTCTTCCTCCACAATCCTACTTGTCCACCTCTTTCTTGTTATTTGGGCTCATCTGAAATGTCATCTCTTCAGATAAGTTGTCTGTCCCTAGCTACTGCAGCTCAATAAATATTTGTTGACTGAATAATTGAAATGGAAATGTGCACTTGACCCCATAAAGGTTGAAGCAAAGAGCTCACAAATGCCTGTGGGCTGAATTCAGCCTGCAGATAATGTTTTATTTGGCTGGATTTGTGTTTGAAAACTCTTTTGAGCCAACATGCATAAATCGGACAGTTTCACTCAAACATCTGAATTTCCAGAATTTTTTGAGACTTTCTGAGGAACCAGACCTGCATTTGTGCATGGCGCTAACCAGCAAGAACTATGGACTACTTCCATTGTCCCTCCCCTCAACCTAGTATAATAACTCCTACATTGCAACAGCTCCCCAAGGCCTTTCCCCTTATTTTTTGTTTTCTATTTGGCTCATGGAGGCCATTGAATTAGCAACCCTGTTGTCTCAGAGTTTCCCTGAAAACAAATATTAATAAGAAAAAAGTGTCAACAAGGAGGTAGAAGGTATAAAGAACAACCAGATGGAAATTTTAGAACTAAACACAATAACCAAAGTTAAAGGTTCACTGTTTGGACTGAATAGCAGAATGGAGAAGACAGAGAAAGGAGTCAGTGAACTTAAAGACAGATCAGTAAACATTCCGGAACAACAGAGAAGATTGGAGGAAAATGAACAAAGGATTAGGAACCCATGAGACAATAGCAGGCCCAAAATGTATGCCTTCAGAGTCCCAGGAAATAGAAAGGGAATGTGGGGCTAAAAAAATATAATTTAGGGAAGCAGAAAGGCAGGGGGGAAGGTGAGCTGATAATGGTGCTTTAATGAGATGGTTGCCACAGTACCCACCTGAAGCTCAGTGTTGCTAGGGACCCTCTGAGAGAATGTAGGAAGTGTTGAACATCCAGGGCTGGGGAAGCTGGATGTCTATCCTTCACTCCCATTCCTTGTGGCAAGGATTGCTTCTGGGGGCACCAACTGCCTGGTTGCTAGTGCCACACCCCAATGCCTGGGCCAGCAAGCTCCTGAGGGGAGATTAGAAGCCACTGGTGCCTACAGGAACCATCCATGTAACTGCTGAAGTTGCAAGAGCCTTCAGGGTAGGCTGAGGGGTATGAGTGGGTGTATTAGTTGCCTATTGCTGCATAACAAATTGCTACACATTTGGGAGCTTAAAGCAATACATATTCATGATTCCTCAGTTTCTGTGTGTCAGGAATCCTCTGCTCCCAAGGATCTCCCAAGGCTGCAGTCAAGGTGTTGGTCAGGCTATATTCTCATTTGGAGACTGACTGGAAAACAATCTGCCTCTGATCTCATTCAGGTGGGGTACAGAGTTTATTTCTTTGTAGCTCTGTGACTGGGACCTGGCTTTTTGCTGACTGTCACCCTCAGGTTCTAGAGGCCACTTGCAGCCCCTAGAGCAGCGGTTCTCAACCTGTGGGTTGCAACCCCTTTGGCAGTTGAACGACCCTTTCACAGGGGTCGCCTAAGACCATCCTGCATATCAGATATTTACATTATGATTCATAACGGTAGCAACATTTACAGTTATGAAGTAGCAACGAAAATAATTTTATGGTTGGGTCACAACATGAGGAACTGTATTTAAAGGGCCAGAAGGTTGAGAACCACTGCCCTAGAGGCTGCCCTTAGCTCCCTGCCATGTGGGCTTCCTTAGCATGCTGCTGACGCCATCAGGCTAGCCAGCCTGTCTAGCTCCAGTTGGCTAAAACAAAAGCTTATGTGGTATAACCCAATCAAGAGAGTGACATCCCAGTACCTTCACCATATTCTATAACAGGGGTGGGGAATGTCCGGCCCCATATAAGGCCCATGAAATAATTTGGTCTGGCCCTGCCAAGGCAGTAGGGGTGAGTTAACTAAATGTTTGATCAAATATAGCAGGCTAATTTTTAAGTTGGTAATTTTGTACAACCTGAGAATCTATATATATAAAAGCCTAAGTGACTGAACGACCCAACAACCGAATGACTGGTTGACGAGTCGCTATGATGTGCACTGACCACCAGGGGGCAGACACTCAATGCAGGAGCTGCCCCCTGGTGGTCAGTGCACTCTCACAGCAGGAGCGCCACTTAGCGAGCTTACTGAGCGGTAGCAGCAGGGGCAGTGGGGCTGGGATGAGTGGAGTGGCATGGGCTCTTCCGCAGTCACCTACTGCTTCATGCACTACTACATCCCTCAGGGGATGTCGGACTGGTGGGGATTGGGCTGAAACTAGCAGTCCGACATTCCCCAAGGGGTCCCGGGTTGTGAGAGGGCGCAGGCCAGGCTGAGGGACCCTACCAGTGCACAAATCCATGCACCAGGCCTCTAGTGGTGTTATAAATATCCAAATGGCCCTCAGCAGAAAAAAGGTTCCCCACCCCTGTCCTATAGGTTAGAAGTGTCACAGATGTCCACACTGAAGGGGAGGGAATCACACTAAGGTGGGGACTCTGGGAGATGGAGATCATTAGTGCCACCTTAAGGTTCCTGTGCCACAGTGGGCACCAGCAGCTTTGGGTGTGGATTATGTGACCTTCAGTCATAGGCCTGGGAATCAGACCAGGCTTGGCTCTGGCTGCTTCACCTCTAGACACTAAATACTAGGGGCTGCTGGGAGCCGGTAGGGGAGGGAGCTCAGATGTTGTCTTTCACTCCCATCACTGGACCCTTCCCAACCGCAGCCTCATGGGTGGCTGTGAGGACATAATGCTTTTGAAGTGTTTGAGTTTTGACCACACCAGGGAGTCCACAAATATTTGCTATTATTACCATTGTTGTTCTCTGCCCCTGCTTCCCACTGGACCTCCTTTAAGTCTCCATGAACATCCCCCATTCTACAAGACCCCTTGGTCTGGGCACCACGTGAAACCTTACGAGTTTTGGCAAAAGTGCCTGGTATGTGAGGGGTGAGCTCTCCTCAGTGACAGAAATCCTGCACTGGAAGCTTCAGATCTGTTCTGTAGTTGCTTCACAATGAACTATCAGGGCAATGAATTTCACAGGCATTAATATTTTATTGCTCACTATTTCACTCTGCCAAACAGTGTATATAATTTCTGGAATAGTTAGTCCCAGTGATTTCTGTGGGCTGCCTGGACCCACAGGTCCCTGGTGGAGGGACCAGTCTCCATTTGGGGTCTGAAGGGGCTCTCTCCACTGCAAGACAGGAAAGGTGGTGTGTGTCCCACTGTCCCAGGCCACCCCTGTGGCAGCACCTTCTGACTTGGAGAGATATAGGGAAGCTGAAAGGCCATAAGCACAGTTGGGGCAGGGTGGGGCAAGGGGCAGGCAAGGAAAGGCAGCGGACCAGGGCAGATCTGGGGGGACTGAGGTTACCCACTCCCCTCCCTGTCTTAGTCCTTGTCCTTAGGAGAGTGCAGTGAGTGAGGCGGTTACAGTTTACCAACCCCAGGCATTCCTCCCCCAATGGCCTCATTCCACCCCTCCTTTTTCCCTTGTGAGGAATACAGGGCTTGAGCCAGGCAACCTGGGTTTGAACTGGAGCCCCCCGCCCCCCTCTTCCAATGACTAGCCAGGTAGCCTTCTTGTCTCAGTTTCTCATCTGTGGAATGGGGATTGCTAATGAGTTAACAGCAGAACCTGGAGCAGGGAAGAGTGCAGTCACTCTTAGCTGTGGCCACGGGTATTTGGCCCTTATGCCTTCGGAGTGTGGTGTGGGGCAGGCACAGGGCAGAGGCTGGGGAAAGGACAGTTGAGGTGACGAAGGCACAGGAGGCCAGGTCTCCTGAGGACTGCAGGCTCACTTTATTTCACCAGAAGCACCTGTTTTCTTCTTTTACTCCGTGAAGGGCAGAAGAGCTTGAGCAGCATCCCGAGCAGGCTCAGCATGGTGCCCACCAGCAGCAGCTTCAGGCCCTTGAGGCGGGAATTGCTGGCCTTCCCCTTCCAGGCCTCTTCTGCCTCTCGCTGTTGTCTAGCTTTCTCTCTCTGCAGAACCTCCATCGTACCCACATGGGGCCTGGGGTTGAATCGAGCCACGAGCTTCTGGTGCACGAAGCACTTGTAAATGGCTGGCCGGAAGACCTGCAGCCGCCTGCCCCCAGTGGCGGGGTCCAGGATGGTGCTCAGGTCCTGGCCGGAGAGCTGGCCCTGCCAGGTCAGGGACTTGCTGTCGGCTTCCCAGATGATGGGCCTGCAGAAGAGGACAAGGTCAGCGGCAGCCCCCAGGGAGGAAAGGACAAATGTCCGAGGGAGGTGGAGACAGCAGCACCTCCCCGGGGAACAGCAGACAGCACCCCCTCTGAGGAGCACTACTGAGCAGGGAGCAAGGGGAGGGTGGGGGCAGGACGGCTGAGAGTTTTTGGAGCCCTACCCCTTACTGAGTGGGCGACTTGGCCAAAGGCTCCAGCTGTCTGAGCTTACATTTCCCCAATCTGAACCCTGGGGGGTAGTAATTGTACCTACCTCAGAGTTTATTCAGAGGTATTAGTGAGAGTGCTTGCTGGTCTAAGTGATTTGTGGCCCCTGTACCTGCTTGGCTTTGTCTCCTCCACTCTCCCCTCTCCTCTGCCCCAGCCACACTGGCCTCCTTGATGTTTCTCTGACATGCTGGACAGGGTCCTTCCTGCCTCGGGCCGTTACCCTCAGGGCTCCCTCTGCCTGGAACGCTCCCTCACATACCTTCTCAGAGACGCCTTCCCTAACCTCCTTATTTGAAATTTTCACCTCACCCACTCCATTCCCCCCTCACTGCCCTTATCACCACCTTAAATACTGAATATTTTATTCATGTGATCGATGATCGCTCCATGAGGGCAGGAATCTTTTCAGTTTCATTTTGCACTGCATCCCCGGTACCTGGAACAGTGCTTGGTTTATAAACACACTCAGTGGTAACTGAGCAGCATTTTAAGTGAGTAATTTGGAAAGCAAATACGCGATCAGGCATAAAACGCACCCGTTGTGTGAGGAACAGAGGGGACACTTAGAAGACAACATCGGCAGGGCCAATAATCTACAAGCAGTGACATCTATCATCGTGGAGCGGTTTGCCAGACACTGTTGTGTCTTCCCAGTCATCTGTCCCCTTAGACATCACAATGAACCCATGAGGCCAGGGCCAGCAAGACCTCTGTACTGAGTTGGATAGTGAGGTTTTAATCAGACCTCAGAATGTGACCTTATTTGGGAATAGGGTCATTGCAGATGTAATTAGTTAAGACGAGGTCAGACTGCAGGACAGTGGGTCCTAAATCCAATATGACTTGTGTCCTTAAAAGAAAAGAAGTGGGCTGGCCTTAGCTCAGCGGTTCCTTCTAGTCAAGCCTTTGCCAACCACTCTTGCTGGTGAGGGTGGTTTAAGACCTGTGGGCACCCCCCAGCCTTTTTCTAAAAAAAAAAAAAAAAAGAAAGAAAGAAAGAAAGAAAGAAAGAAAGAAAGAAAGAAAGAAAGAAAGAAAGAAAGAAAAGGAGAAGAGCCACAGAGACACAGGCACACGGGACTAACACCAAGTGATGACAGAGGCAGAGATTGAAGTGACGCAGCTATAAACCAGGGAAGGCCCAGGATGCCAGCCACCACCAGGAGACAGGAAGAAACAATGATTCTACCAGCATCTCAGAGAGCACAGGCTCTGCTGACCCCTTGATTCTGGACGTCTAGCCTTCAGACTTGTGAGAGATTAAATTGCTGTTGGTTTAAGCCACCCAGTTCGTGATACTTTGTAATGGCAGACCTAGCAAACTAACACAACCCCTATTCTACAAACAGAGAAACTGAGGTCTAAAGAGACACCAGAGCCCAGAGTCACATGGCTGGAAAATGGCAGAGCTGGGACCAGAACCCAGGCCTAGCTGAGCCCAGAGCTTGAAATAAAAACCTCACACAAAGTGCCACTCCACTTGGCTCCCTAAAGACACGGGCAATTCTTGAAGCCTCTCTTGCCTCTTCCCTCAAGTTCCCAATGACTGGCACTTGGGAAATCCTTGTCTGGCAAAGGACATGGAGTAGGTGTCCCAGTCTAGATGGAAGGAGGGATTCATCGTGCACTCTCCTGCACTTATGAACGGTGGTATTTTTTAGGGAGTAGGTATTGCTTTTATACTTAAAGTGGGAGGAAGGAGGAAGGGAGACAAAATGACAGGAGCATGAGAAAAAAGAGAGAAATAGAAGTCACAATGGAATAAACAAGAAAGAGAAAACCAGATGGAGGTGGTGAGGCCAGATTCCACAGAGCCCATAGCTGCAGAGGCCCCAAGAGGCTGTGATGGCTCTCCCCTTGCAAGAGAGGGGCTGCCACTGGGGTGTGTGGGGAAGGAGGGCAAGGGGACCGCCTGGTGTGTGTGAGATGAAGGGTCTGCACTGCCACTTCCCACCACAAATCTCCTTGAGCAAGGACTGCATCCCTTCCAGCTGCAGTTCCCCACCTATCAATGGACTTCCTTGGAGTCCACAGTTCCTGGGGCCAGAGTGGAGGGATGGGAGAGGGTGCGGTTTGTGAAGAGAGTTTGCCCAAGGCCCATCCCCAGTGAAACCAGGAGTGGTTGTAGTTCTTATTACTGGGGTAGGGGCAGGCAGGTTGGGGAAGAGAAGGAAAATGGGGAGATTTCTCAGGGGCTCCAGGCAGGAAGACAAGAACATGAGTGTGAGCTGCAGGAGGCAGCCCCTGAAGGGCATGCCTAGGGCACTGTCCTGCCCTCTGGAGCCTGCTGACCCTCCCAGATGAGTCAGAGGCCTCAGAGCCCCACAGCTACCCAGGCTTCCCCCAGTACAGCCCCTCCACTGGCCTGGGCTCCTCCCATCCCCACCCTGACCACTCTGGGCTGTGTTGCTGCTGGGCAGGTGGCTTCCTGAGGGCAGGAACTCTGAAGACTACCATGTCCACAGCACTGTCCAGCACAGGGCCAGGCACAGTCAGCCAAGCCCTCCCCGAGTGTTAGATGCTCTTCTGGCTGTGTGAAGCAATAGTGTGTGGGCACCAGGGGGTTCTTACCAAAGGAACATCTGAAGAAGCCAGTGCAGAGACTGTGGGGCTGACCCATGTAGGGAACCCGCCCCTTCCCCTCCCCCTCCCCCCCCCCCCCCCCCCGCCCTTCTCTCCATGGATTAACCATGAAGGTTCCCAGACTGAGAGAGCCTGGCTAGGGGCCAAGGGCAGGGCTGGTGTGCACTTCCACTACCTATAGATGGATCCTAAGAAGCAGGTGAGCCATGCAGATCCTGACTCCTCACTGAGCTCGAAGTTGTCAAAAGCAATTTCAAAAGCAATGTTCTTCGTATTTGATGTTTCACACTGGACATGGCAGGCTTCTATCTGCATCTCAGGTCGCATGCGGCTGGACCACAGCCTAGCATTTCCCAGGTAGAGCAAGCAGGGGACGGAGTTCCCCAGAGGCTCCTGGATGTAGCAATACCCCAGGCGTTTGCGCTCACCGGGCTCGCCACAGCGGTTACAGTCCTGCCAGGGCTCCCAGTGGGTGAAGATGATCTCCTTGCTGCCCAGACTCAGGGTCTCATTCTGCAAAGGCTTCTGGCCCAGGTCTCTATGTGTAATGTGAAGGGTGCTAATGTCCTGGAAGTCAATCTCATACTGCACCACTTGGATGTCTTTCTTGTCCCGACAGCTGTATAAACCCGTCTGGGATGGCAATGGACTTCTAATGAGAATGCTGCCTTCAGACATTGCTTCTATGTTTGAAACACCGAGGGGGTGGATGGACCAGTTGGTCCCATCTTGTAGGAAGTAGTAGTACCACTGTGCATCAGAAGCGTTGCAGTACAGAGAGACATCATTGTTGGAAAGTAGGGCTCGTTGGCATCGCTTGCTATGGGGACAGCTGATAGGAACATAGAAACCCAGCAGTGGGACAGCAAAGCTGAGCAGCAGCCACAGGGTGGTCATCATGGTGGACTGGGACTGTGGCAGTGGGCCGGGCACCACCCTGGACATTGTGAGGTCACTCATGAAGCTCAGGCTTCAACCCTGGGCAGCAGAATGAACTGGAGTACACCCCATGGGTGTGTAAGGTCACAATCCCTATTTGTTTTGTGACAAATGAACAACCCTATTTAATTTCTCTCCCAAGCCCTCCACTTTGCTTGGGTAGGAGGAGGCTTAATTTGTCTATTCAGGATTTTCACTACCACGCCCGTGCTTTGGCATTAAAGTGTCACATGCAAACCTTCAACATGTTTTCCCTGAACACCTACTATGTTCTGGGCATACTTCTTAGTACTGGTTATGGAGAGATGAATAAATCCTCTGGTTACCATTCGGACCTCCTACCTCTCCAGCCCTCCAGCCATGTTAGCCTCCCTGCTGTCCCTTGAACACAAAGCAAAGGGCTCCTGGCTCAGGACCTTTGCACATACTAGTCTCCGGCTCTTCCCACAGATATCTGCATCACTCAATTCATTTTAGCTCTTATTTCTTGCCACTTAATTATTTTTTATTTTTCAGTTACAGTTGACATACAATATTATATTTGTTTCAGGTGTATACCCCAGTGATTTGAAATTATATAACTTACCAAGTGATCATCCCAATAAATCTTGTACCTTCTGGCACCATACATAGTTATTAGAATACTAGAGGCCTGGTGCACAAATTCGTGCACCAGTGGGGCCCCCCTGGCCTGTGGGATTGGGCTGAAACCAGCTCTCCGACATTCCCCAAGGGGTCCTGGATTGCGAGAGGGCACAGGACAGGCCGAGGGACCCCACCGGTGCACAATCGGGACCAGGGAGGGATGCAGGAGGTTGGCCAGCCGGAGAGGGACTGCAGGAGGGCTCCAGGGGGTGTCTGGCCAGTCTTGCTCAGTCCCTATCAGCCAGATCCCAGCAACAAGCTAACCTATTGGTTGGTGCGTCAGCCCCCTGGTGGTTAGTGAACATCACAGCAAGCAGTTGAGTGGCCTTAGCATTCGTTAGCATATTACGCTCTGATTGGTTGAACGGCCGACCACACAACCAGTCACTTAGCATATTAGGCTTTTATTATATAGGATTATTGAGTATATTGATATATTGCGGCACTTTACATCCCCATGACTATTCTGTAACAACCATTTTATACTTCTTTTTTTTAAAAAAAAAAATACTTTATTGATTTTTTTTACAGAGAGGAAGGGAGAGGGATAGAGAGTTAGAAACATCAATGAGAGAGAAACATCAATCAGCTGCCTCCTGCACACCTCCTACTGGGGATGTTACTGCAACCAAGATACATGCCCTTGACTGGAATCGAACCTGGGACCCTTCAGTCCACAGGCCGACACTCTATCCATTGAACCAAACTGGTTAGGGCCATTTTGTACTTCTTAATCCCTTCATCTTTTTCACCCATCCGCCAACCCCCCTCTCATCCAGCAACCCTCAAAATGTTCTCTGTATCTGAGTCTGTTTCTATTCTGCTTGCTAGTTTATTTTGTTTTTTTAAATAGTCAATTGTTGATAGGTAAGTATTTATTGCCATTTTATTGTTCATATTTTTTATCTCTTCCTCCTTCTCCTCCTCCAGCTGGTCAAGTGGAATGAAGTTAACTAGAAGAGGACGTTCTGCCAAGAAAAGGCGGGGACCTGCAAGCGGGCCACGTCAGAACAAAGTCTTGCAAGCAAGACTTATTGTTCAGAGGCAGAATTTTCCTGATAAATAGTCCATGAGGGCATGGAAAGTTCAAGGGAGGGTACACTGCTGCAGGTGGAAAGGGTCTTTGTATAACATAGGAAATCAATAGTGTAATGTATAACTTAGCTTAGATGATCACATAGGCATGCCTGTTTTTCATTGTCTCTTGCTGTACTCCATTGTTATTTGCTGTACTCCCCAAATAAAAGCCATGAGAGCTTTGGGGGCTTTGCTACTTGCCTGAGTGAGCGGTAGCCCTCTGCTTCTCTAAACTCAATCCTGCACGCCGAGATCACCTCAGTGTCACCGTTCACAAACAGAACATCAACATCCTTCTTCTTCTAAGACCTTTCAACGTCTCTATATATAAAGAGGTAATATGCTAACTGGTCCTAACAGTGTCACAGTTACGACAGGTAAGGAGGAGGCTGCCTGCACATGCGTGGCGGGGCGTTGCTCCCGGAGATGGGGTGGAAGCAGGGAGGTGCCCAGCAGAGGCCCCGTGCCCGAAAGGGCGGGGTTGAGAGCCCGTAGCGCCCGTCTCAACAGTCCTTCACCACCCACTGCTTGCACTCAGAGCGCCCCGCTGCTCACCTGCCTGGGGAAGGAGCGCAGCACAGCAGACACGAGGTTTCCACGCTCTCCTCCGGCACTATGATGGGGTGGAGCTGCCGTGTTGCTCTAGAGATGGAGACAAGGTGGAAGTGGGGAGGCGCCCAGAGAAGGTGGGGCCAGCCTGAGGCAACTCAAGGGACTGAGGGTGGGGCTTGAAGTGGCCATAGAAGGCCAGAGGGGTTGGGGGGCTGGGCCAGGCGCACTGGAGCTCTGCGTGGAGAGGTTTAGGTGTCAAGGCAGGGTGGTGGGTGGGTGGGCGGGCCACACGATTTCATGCCTTGGGCTGCTAGTTCTATATAATAAAAGGCTAATATGCAAATAGGCCAAACTGCGGAACAACTGAACAACTGGTCACTATGATGTGCGCTGACCACCAGGGGGTGTGTGCGGAACATGGCGGGCATTGGCTGCGGTGGGATGGTAGAGCACGTAAGCATTGGCACCAGACCAAGGCGGAGCACTGGTCACTGCCATTGGGGCGAGCCTCTGATGGTTACTGAAAATTCTTTGCTTCTGCACACCGTGGTCCCACCTGGTGCTCACACCTGCTACCAATGCTGGAGCCACCGCTTGCACCCACTGCCAGCACCTGGCACCAGCCCCGATCACTTGGCGCTATCAGCGGGTGCAAGCGGCGGATGCTGGCCCCAATCGCCCCTCCAGGATTCTCCACCTCTGCCTGCTCCTGAGGGGCGATCAGGGCCAGTAGCCGCCTCTTGCACCTGCTACTGGTGATGGCCCCACTTACACCCGCTGCTGGCATCGGAGCTGTCGCTCTCACTCACTGCCGGCACTGACCCTGCTTGCACCCGCAGCTGGCACCAGAGCCACTGCTCACACCTGCTGCCAGTGCCCGATGCCAGTCCTGATCGCTCAGCGCTGTCAGTGGGTGTGAGCGGCAGCTGCCGGCCCCATTTGCCCCTGAGGGCTTCTCCACTTCCCCTTGCTCCTGAGGGGATTTCGGGGCAGCAGCCACTGCTCACACCCACTGATGGTGCCAGCCCCACTTGCACCTGCTACTGGTGCCGGCCCCAATCGCTCTGCACCATCAGTGGGTGCAAGTGGGGCTGGTGCCGTCAGTGGAGTGGCAGCAGCAAGAGCAGGGCCACTGGCAGACAGGGGACCAGGAGCCGCAGCGGGAGGGGACGGGCAAGGGCATGGAGGATGGGTCGAGACACACCTCTGTGCCCACTGCAGCCTCATGGCCCACAGTTCCTTTCAAGGTGCATAAATTCTTGCACTGGGCCCCTAGTTTCATATAATACTGGTTTGGTGATAATGAACTCCCTTTAGCTTTTTCTTGTCTGGGAAGTTCTTTATCCTTTCCTTCAATTCTAAATGATAGCTTTGCTGGGTAACATAATTTTGATTGTAGGTACTTGCTTTTCATCACTGAATATTTCTTGCCAATCCTTTCTGGGCTACAATGTTTCTGTTGAGAAATCAGCTGACAGTCTTATGGGAGCTCCCCTATAGGTAACTAACTGCTTTTTCTCTTGCTGCTTTTAAGATTCTCTCTTTGTCTTTAACCTTTGGCCTTTTAATTATGATGTCTCTTGGTGTAGGTCTCTTTGGGTGATCTTGTTTAGGACTCTCTGAGCTTCATGGACTTGCATATCTATTTTCTTCACCAGGTTAGGGAATTTTACTGTCACTGTTTTTTTCAAATAGATTTTCAATTTCTTACTCTTACTCTTCTTCTGGCACCTCCATGATGCAAATATTGGTGTGCTTGAAGTTGTCCCAGAGGCTCCTTACACTATATCTTCATTTTTTTTGGAGTAATTTTTCTTCTTGCTGTTCTGATTGGGTGTTTTTTGCTTCCTTATATTCCGAAGTTCTGGTTTGATTCTTGGCTTCATCTACTCTACTGTTGAGCCTCTGTAAATTATTCTTCATTTCAGTGAGTGTATCCTTCATTTCTGATTGGATCTTTTTTATGGTTTCTATGTCCTTTTTTTATGCTGATGAAGTTCCCACTAAGTTCTTTGAGAATCCTTATAACCATTTTCTTGAACTCTGTATCTGTTAGTTAGCTTGCCTCCATTTCCTTTAGTTCTTCTTCTGGAGATATCTCCTGTTCTTTCATTTGGGACCTGTTTCTTTGTCTCCACATTTTGGATGCTTCCCTAAGTTTGTTTCTATGTATTAGGTAGAGCTGCTACATTTCCCAGACGTGGTAGAGTGGCCTTGTGTTATAGGTGTCCTGTAGGGCCCAATGGCACAGGCTTCCCAGTCACTGGAGCTGGGTACTCCAAGTGTGTCCCTGTGTGAGCTGTGTGCACTGTCCTGCTGTAGTTGAGCCTTGATCGCTGTTGGCATCACTGGGAGGGATTGACCTTCAGGTCAATCGGCTGTGAGGACCAGCTGCGACTACAATACAGAAGCTGCTGTGCAGGAGCTGACCCTACAGAGCAGAACTTGTTTCAGTGGGGCTTTAGTGTTCTCCGAGTCCACCCCTTAAGTGTGTCATTCGTGGAGGTGGTAGGGTTGTAATCTGGCATGGACTGAAGCTATCTACCAGGTGCACTGGGTCTGGGGCCTCCAGGGACATGCAAAGTCAGCCATTGCCTGTGCCCTGCCTGGGGCCTCCTAGCACAAACTACAGAGTGATCTTCAGATGGCTGCTACTTGTGCTGGGCTAGGAGGTGCCCATGAGAGGCCAAGCTGCATACCAA